GGGAAGGGGGGGACAAATAGAGGGGAAGGGGGAGATAAATACAGGGGAATGGGGGGAGACAAATACAGGGGAATGGGGGGACAAATAGAGGGGTAATAGAGAGACACCAGGGAAGGGGGGGACAAAGAGACAGAGGGGAAATAGGAGGTTGGGGGGACAAAGAGAGGGGTAATAGAGAGACACAGGAGAAGGGGGGACACAGAGACAGAGGGGTAAGAGAGAGACACAGGAAGGAGATGGGGAAGAGAGACACAGGGAGGAGTTGGGGAAGAGAGACACACGGAAGGTTTGTTGGGGGGATAAAGAGACATGCAGTAGGGAAGGGGAACAAAGTGACACAAGATTTGTGGGAGGCAACGCTGGGCTGGGGAAAAAGACAGAGAGTGACTGGGAGAAGAGAAAGAGGCACACAGAGTCTGGAGTTAGAAAGAGACACACAGATGAGATTTGGAAGGGGAGAAAGAGACAAAGTGGCTGGGGCTAAGAACAACAAAAAAGGGGCTGGGGGAAAGAGAAATACAGAGGCTGGAGAAGGGTAAAAAGAAACACACAGGGACTGGGATGAAGTAAAAGATGCACAAGGGTCGCTGTAAGAGAAAAAAAGGAGACAATTGGAGACAAGATACACTAAACGAGGTAAAGGTAATAGACGTAAAATTATGTGATCCTGACAGTAATACACACACACACACATATATATATATATATATATATATATGCATGTATATTGTTGTGTGTATTAGTAACATATAATTATGCCTATAATATTTACACATATAGTAATATACATTTATTTATGCATAATACACACATAAATGTCATTAAATATGTCAATATATATATATATATATATATATATATATATAATGAGCACGTATTGGCCCTGTCTTGTTGCTAGTTGCATACTCATGCACAATAACATATTCAAAGTGAAGAGCGCACCCATAGAACTTCAAAATAAACAAGATCACTTCATTTTTTAGTTGTGCAACTGCAGACATTCAGCATTTCAGTACCATTACTAAAATGTCCTTAATAGGCCAAAGTAGTTGTACTGAAACATTACATGCAAATGTACGTCTACTTAAAATAAAGGCGCTCTTTTGTTTATTTTGAAGCCCTATATGCGTTCCTTCGTTGGAGTAAGAGTTTTCAATTTCAAGTTATTTTTTCACCCTCTTTATCAGCACACTATGCTGGCGCGACGCATTATTGGGCTGGTATAGAATTTTTTTCCAGGGCTGATTTTAGGTCCCAGTCCGGCCCTGATCTCATTCCCTTGTTTTAAATGTTTTGACAGAAACTGAGAGTCTGTCATTGTCTGTCATGCTTAGCCAATGCATGCTGACTAAACTTGGTCAAACTTTAATGGTAATGCAGATATTATTTTCCGTTGTCAAGCCATTTTGACACTTTGGTATATCAGTGACCCTCTTGAGGATAAAAATTGAAGCCCGACTAAATATAGCTCAGAAACCACAATACTTCTACTAATCCCAGATACTGCTTTCCAGGTAGGTCTTTTAGTGCTCACTCCAATATCTTTTCTACCTTCATTAAGTAGGGAGCTATACTTTTAAATATAACATTACATTCAAGGCCTTACTGTTTTGTTATGATTTAAACTATTGATCACACAGCATTAGCATGGTAGAACTTACCTCCATATAGGATCAGAGGCAGGGTGACTGCATCTCTTTAATGCTGTACTCCTAACAGGCCACTGGACTCCTATAGTTATCATATGTCTTTACAATGCTAAAAGATTACTACCTTTGTAAACAGAAAGACTTTATGGATCTTACAAACATTGTGTTCCTGAAAATAATACATCCAATGCAATCTCAAGAACAGACTAGCTAAACTGTCTCCTGGCACTCCTGTCTGGAATTGCGGTCTTGGGAAACTGCACTGATACATTTGAAGAAAATAAAAATAGGTGTGTGAAGCCTACTGATCCTTGAACAGTCTCGAACCTCACGTCTAGGGTTAGCAGTCTGCAAATGACAGTTGAGGACCAAGATAACCAGTTTTGACACAACAATCTCCTAGTAAGAAGAGTTCCAGAAATCTGTTTTCTTTTGGTGCAAAACTTTTTGGGCCCTTCTACAATCATTATTATTCAAAAATATACTCGAATTGCACAGAACTCATGGAGCCATCATGCCTATACTAGCTCTGAGGCATAGAACCAGTGATATCTTCTCCGAGACTTCTACTCCACCAAATAAACATGGACATCTCTCCAACTCCTCAGGCAACATAATGTTCCCTGAAATTAGATGTATCGATTGTTTGTTATTATAGTTATTTGTTAGAGGCACAAACTTTCAGACATCGCTGATGAAGTGCCAGTGAGGCATGAAACACATCAGTGGTGATCTTCACTCTCCCGCATGTGTCCTAACTGTATGCCCACTTTGAAATAAAGATTTTTCATCCTTACCTATGGATCAAGGCGTTCTTTCTTTATGATGGAGGAGATCTGGAAATCCATTTAAGACTTGTTTATCTCTACAGTTATGGAACCTGTGTTCCCCTACTATGATTCAGGAATACTTTGTTGTGCAATAAATGTTAGCAAGGTGTTTTGTTCTCTCCAGCTATAGATATTCTTTAGCCATTCTCGTTCTTTCTCTTTTATTCCCTCTTGTCTATTTTTGAAAAATATATAATAAAATAGAAATTGTGTGTTTAAATTGCTCTTTAGGGATATTAAAAAAAATAAAATGATATACATTTACACAACTTTGATTTATCATTTATTTATTTAAATGTATTATATACAGAAACATTGGGAAGCAGATCAGACATATTCGATATTATATGGTGTTATTTTTTTCTTTGCGAAGAATACCAATTTTTAAAACATATAGTTGGTGTGACAAAAGTAGATAAAACATGGTACAGTACCCTTCTTGTTTTTATTTGTAGGGAACCTCTTAGCATTTCTGGGGATCCATCATATAGAAATGTCACCAGCATGTGACAATATTATTTGTAAACAGCCAACATCCCCACATATAGTAAGTACTGTTACATGAAGCAACTGTACTATATAAAGCAAATTTCTCTAAAAAATATCTCAAAAATGTTTTCTCAGCTTTGACACATGATAAATCAGTATACATGGAGGGGCAGGTAAATATGCAGTTTCTCCCTCAAAATGTTTTGTTTAGTTCAAAACTCTGAAATCTGAACAAAATGTTAAATGTAAGAAGACCACTAATAGGCATACTGACTCTCAAAAGAAGAAATTCATGTAAAAAAATAAATAATAAGAAGAAGCTGACTACTACATATTAACATAAAAAAACATGATTCCAAGCACTGTAACATAAACACGTAAACTAAATGCAATCTCCCACTACTCTTTGGCAGCAGCAATACAGCAGTTCTGTGTTGTTGTACTTGCTGTGTTACACAGCCATGCTACAGTATTCATGCCCACCCCATCTATGTTCTATTAAGGGTTAAAAAGTGTGTACTGGCTCTTAAATGTACTCCTTTCATAGATATTTTTAGAAGATTTAAAAGAGTTACCTGCATACTACTCCAAATCCCTAAACATCTTTAAATAACTGGAGTTTTTTTCAGATTACTACATTGTCCATTTAAGTGTAAGCTCACCTGTCACGTCAAACCAAACCCTCTTAGGTGAGTCCTACACTAACAATTCACCTTGCTGCTTTCTGCCAAAAGGTATAACATCACTAATGATACAGAAAGGGGTATTTTTATGAACTTCTACACACATATTAACCCTTTATAATGTAAATATGGGGTAGGCGGCAGCCTTTTTCAGCTGAACATAGCTAGGTGAATTGTTAGTGTATGACTCACCTAAGAGGTTTTCCATCATGTTGGCAGGTCAGCTTACACTTTAGTGGCCAACACAGTTGTACAAAAATAAAATGTGTTTTACACATTTATGATGAATACTATAGCCATTGTTGCCACCCAAAACCAGGTGGGAAGCGGTTGCAAGATACTGCAAATTTGCAAAGTGGTAAAGATGACTGAAAATTAGTTTAAACATTTTCAGATTTATAAACATGGTTTATCTTAGAACATTCTGCCTAGAGCTATCCAAGTGTAACTGCCCACTCAAAAGTAACAGGAAATATTTGACTTCATAAATATAGATAATTACTGAGGTTAACATTTTCTAAAAACATTACTTATTTTAAAAATGGAATTCTTTTATCCATAGAGTATTGTTAAACGTTGGTATTCAGTAAATTATTTATAAGGAGTATAGTTCCAGCAGCCCATTGTGAAATTTCTTTACAATCAGTTCATTATGTTTTTTTTTCATTTCATCGGGTAAAATAGCGAAACAATACAATGAAGAATAATACAAAAAGAAGAGCTGAACAATTTGTACAAGTAAAGATCAATTCTTGGAAACCCCTCAGTCTAACAACTGTTGCTTACTGAATTCATTAAATTATGGTAATTCAGTAAACTGGAAAGTGTGAAGCATTTTCAAGGATTTTGCAAATATGAAGCAGTAGAATTGTCAAAACAGATGTGTTGGAAGAATTGTTCCCGTTTGACTATTTTGGACTAACATTTGCAGTTCTCTTGTCAATTCTCCGTAATGTTTTTTTCAATAACCACATTGTGCAGTGGAGAAAAATAAGATAAAATAAACAGTTCAAATTCAAAACTTGACTCCTTCAAATAAATATGTTAAAGGAACACTCCAAGCACCATAACCACTGCAGTGTAGCATAACAGTGTGTGATAACGGTACAAGAAGTGCGCCTGTAAGGGTCAACCCATTCATGAACAACTGATCGCTTTCACCCAATGAGCTAAGTCCTCCATTGCTGGGCTTAGCTCTGGAGAGCTAACTGAATTTCCTACTTATGAACTTCTGGCTCTGTGTCCCATTTCTCCCTTTCCAATGTGTCCAATTTCCGCAGCTCCTCCATGAATCCCATTTCCCCCTTGTTCAGACCACATAGGTGGATAAACATTATTGAAAACAATATAATACCCACACACCTTAAAAATCACAAAAAAACAAAGAAAATCAAAGGAAGACTGGGTACATAACCCTTGCTAACTATAATGATTATTTTCTATAACAAGAACTTCACACTGTAAGAATCTCAGATTTGAGATACCATGTGTGACTTATTGTAGGATATCACATGCGACCTACTGTAAAATACCATATGCGACCTATTGGAATCTGTGCTCCCTCTGTTAAAATCATGGATGGATCAAAGCTTGATATGAAGGCCCCATATGACTGTTTAATAAAAATACATTAAAAAAGAAATCTACTAGCAAAACACTTGTATTGTAGGTCTTGATTAAAATGCACGTTTCTGTGGGATTCATTTTCAGTTCTAACTTTAATGAATTTATTTTAGTGGGTAGCTATGTTATTAATATTATTGAAAGTAATGATGATAATTAAAGCTGTGCCAGCTCTCCAAAGTGGAATATTTTACATTCCTACTTATTTTAGGTATCCTTTCATGTTATTGCTTGAAGCTTTACACCATCCTCTGGAAACATTTGGGTATCTGGATCTGCCAATAGAACATGTAAGGTCAGGTGAGGGTAAATAGTGCTTATCCATGAGAAAATGCAAGTTCTAAATGAATTTATTGTGGGAGTATAAAATGAAACCAGACACATCACTTAATCTTTTACTAAACAGACCCCCCACTGCCAGAGAAAAAAATAATAATTAAAAAAAGTATTTTAATAGTTAACAAAATATTAACTCCTTGGTTAGTATATGGCACAGGGATAGTGTGTGTACACAGATTCACTTCACATAGGGTGTTCTGTTCCTACTAATCAGAATTGTTAATGTATTTCTGAAGGAAATTGAGAGATTTATATCACATAATGGTTCTTTTTTTATTATAATTTTTTATTTTTAAGGTATGCAAACAGGGAATACACAGTACGACATACGAGATCTTATAAGTATTTTCATTACAACGATGTTGGTTACAAGCACAGTGTCTGCATATACGTACCTTAAACTTCATGTTATAGTTGGTTGACAGTAAATACTTGATGACACATTATCTGCTTTTCCTACCCATATTTATGGTATTAGGGAGATACAGGGAAGAGGTATACACCTGATTGTTGTGTCTTTCGGTGTATGAGGAGGTGGTATAATTATTTCCTGTGATCACTCCACCGGTATGTTCAAGTATCATAGGTTCCTTACTTGTATTTTGGTTTGGCAGTTGTAATGGTCTTGGGTGTTCATCGTACCAGTAAGGTATGGATATATGTGGGAGGGAGAAACTCTAAAAGTTAACAGTCGCCTTGTCCAATGAATTATATGAAGAATGTATTTACCCAAAACTCGTGTGGAGATTCATGAGAGGTTTTGACGCCCCTGTTTATGGAGTAGTCGGTTGTGTTGATTGGTGGAAGGTATGTCAAGAAGGGTCCTGTCTGACTCGATTGTTTAAGTTGGTAGGATCAGGGGTTATTTGTGTATCATTGGAGGGTTTTTACATGGCCTAGATCTGGTAGGTCAATGATTACACGTCGTGTCAGTTGTAGTTGGGTGATTCGTCATGTAGGTCACATAATGGTTCTATGTCAGTGTATTCAACCCTCATCATTCCAAATGTTGTTGACTACATCTCCCATAGTGCTCTAACAGCTATAGTGCACCTGGTCTATCTTAGACGACTAACTTTATGCTAGACTTTTGAATTAACCTCTGGCATTCCACATTGTTCCTGGGATAACTGTGAAGACACGATTGTTATCTAGGTGATTAGCTATTAATGGTAGCCCTTCAGTAGGTTCCATGACCCAAAGGTATGGTCCAAGTCCTGGTAAGTGCACAGCAAGGTAGACAGTGACTGGTAAGATAAAGACCTGAAGGCAATGAAGAGGGACACAGGAGAACAGGCTTTACAGCAGATTCTTGTGTGGCGGAGACTTGGGGGAAAGGATTGTAGGGGTGGTAGACATGATAAGTAAGACTGGAAAGGGGCAGGCATGATGGGGAGACTGGTGGAGGGTATACATGGAGGGAAGACTAGTGAGGAGCAGGCATGGGATAGAGACTGCTGCAGTTAGCGGCATAAGGAAAGGCTGGTGAGGTGGTGGGCAACAGGAGAAGCTGCTGACAGGGCAGAAGTGGGAGAAATACTGATGAAGGAGATGTGGATGACACAGTAGGTGCAGGGGCATTCCTAGAGCATTTGGCACATAGAATGGATTCTGTATTTGGCACCCCCTCCCCCCCAACCACCAACTTTAAAATGTAAAAAAAAAAAAAAAACACAATTTCTTTTTAATGTTTTAAAAAGTATTTACATATTTGAAGTCTAATGGGCCCTGGAGAGGGGTCTCTCTAACACTCGGGCCCCCATTCACAATATTGTAATATAACATAGCTCTCTGATACCCAGCTCAAGTTGGGTCTTCTCATCTTGATTACTGCTGCTGGCTGGCTGCTGTGGTCAGCTAGCTGCTGTGACCCGCTAGTATGTAGGCTGGCTACCCTGATCAACTGGCAGGCTACTGTGGCTGATTGTCAGGCAGTCTGGCTGCTGTGGCTGGCAGACTGGTGTGTCTCTTTGTCCCCTCTTTCCGAGTCTTTTTGTGCCCCCCCGCCCGTCTGTGTGTCTCT